CAAGAACTTATAGTTGCCTCTAACTCCCGAGCTGCACACCTACAAACTCACAATCCTCTGTGACCTAGAATCACCAAGACATCTTCATTCTCCTTTGCCCAGTATGTGTAAAGACAACTCCTCCTCATTGCCTGGCTGACACCCCCATTCAGAAATTCATCATGTTACCATCAGCGTTAATTGAAGAGAGATTCTTTGTTGTGGGGGCTGTCCTGTGCATTGAGGGATATTTAGCAGCCTCTCTGGCCTCTGTCCGGTAGCGGGCCCTGAGATGTGACAGCCAAACATCTGTAGACATCGTCAAGTGTCTTCAGGGAGACAATGTCATCCACTGTGGAAAACCACTGCTTTAGACTGACAACCAAAGACCTCGGTGAAATGTTAGTTCTTTAAATTTCTTCAATCCTTTTTTAAATTATTCTGAAATCCCTTCTTACCACATTCAATCAAGAATCAAATGCTTATTTTTCAATTTCTTTCACCCAACTCAAAGTGCCCTTCCTCATACTCTGCCAGTCTGTTTATCCTTAGACAGAGGCAACCACAGCAGGAAAACTTCTAGGCTTAATTTTATACCCTCATATGATCACTGCATTTTGTTGACGTCTTTTCTTCTCAGAACGCTTCATGATCTTTCATTCTCTTCCTGTGGCCTAAATGCTGATATTCTTCAGTTTTCCAACTGGTGCCTTCATTTCTCCTTGCTGTGTATTCCACCAAGATCAGGTCTTGGTGATGACCACCATCACTCCTGCTCCAAACCTGTACCTCCAAGATGACCCACCTCCTGAATGGTTAACTAATTTTTCCAACTAATAACAAGACCCCTGAAGAAGAGCCTACAGACCCCCCAGAGTCAATAGGTCCAAGAAAAGTGCATTTTCATCCCTGACCGAAGTCTTCCTCCAATCTACATTTCTTAATAAATTACATTATAATGCATCCAAATACTGAAAATTACCCATTTCAAATCACCTGTGTCCAAATCTTCCCCTTCTCTCTCCCCAGTGCTCTAACCAGACCAAGCCCATTGTACTGAAGCATCTGGGTTGCATGGCTGGCTCCATGCAAAAGTCAGCCTCCAGTCTGTCCTTTCTCTAGCCAAGCCTCATCTGTCTATTTCCCCCTTAAAACCCCACCCTGGTCATAGGTCTTTGATGGCTCCCCATTGCCTGTTATTTCAACGCTGTGTTGTGTGTTATGTAGAGCTTACACAGTCATCAGGCCACAACCTACCTTTCCAGTCTCCATTTTCCCTTTGCACATCCAACATTCCAGCCACTGCAGTCCACTCACCATTCACTAGCGTGTCCCATGCATCTCTCACTCAGGCTCCTGTCAGGAAACTGAAACCACACTAGGCATTTTGACAGAGAGAATTTATCAAAGGAAATCATTAAACAGGTGTTTTGGAATTTAGAAGTGAGAGCTCCTGAAGTCACTCAGAGATAGTAACTGTGTAAGCAAGGAGCAGCACCACTCCCAGGCAGAGGGCTTACAGGGAAGGGGATGGGTTATTAGAAACTAGAAGTACTGGGGGAGACCGCACAGACATGGAACCTGCATCTCTGAGGAGATGTAATGCCTGGCTGCTCCTAGTACCTCTGCAACATGGGCAAGGGCCCCTTGGAGCCGAGCTCAAACCTCTAGGGAAGGAATGCTGCTAGGTTGGTGCAGGGACCTTCTAAGGGTGAGATAAAGCTGGTTCTGAGTAAAGCTATGCACTGGGACCAAATGCTGCTATTGGGATGAAGGGCCATCGTGGGGCAACAATGTTAGGAAGAGCCATCAAATGGGAAAAGGGAAATCTCCTCACCTTCTCCAGTGCCTTTAGTGCCCCCTGTTGGTGGAAGCCAGGAGACAATTTGGAGAAGGAAGGGTGGGTTAGAGTTGAGAGACAATTGCTTAATAACCAGCACTCTGCACTTCCCTGTCTCCTTATCCATACTCATACAGCTTCCCCATCCATAATGCTCTTCCAACCAATATCTGCCTGGAGTGCACCATTGTTTAAATACAATCTCCTTTCTAATCTTCTCTAATCTTCCCCCAAATAATTATTTCCACTAGCATTTTGCAAATATTTCCTTTCTAGTCTTCTTTGGTCTCACAGTTACTTGTGTATGTTCATTTTATTCGTTTTCTGCCAAACTGTGAACTTCTTTAGGGCAGGTAGAGTTACAACCATAGAATGGAGCAGGGTGCCTGGCACACAACAGATGTTGGCTGAGATGGATGGAATCAATAAAGGCATGTCAATGAAATTAATATTAGATCACTTCTTGTACATATTTTATCTTCCCAACCAGACTTGAACTCCATAAGAGCAGAGTTCATGCTTTATAATATTTTTTAAAAACTTTTTCATGGTGTTCAGTACAAGGCTTCGTATGCTGAAGAAGAGCTCAGTGATATTTGTTAACCACCTAGTTTATTCGTTAAGCATCACAAATTTGGTCCAAAAAGACATGAAGATGGAGGATAGATGTATGAAGAGCAGGTAAGATCTGTAGTTAGGTTTAGACGTGCTTCTAGCACATGACTCCAACAGATGCTGTTCATACGCTGAAGTTCTGTGTTTGTTGAATAGCACAATCGGGAGACTAAATGTAAAATGTCTTATAGTGAATTGTAAAGTGATGAAATATATTCTAGGTTTGATTTCTTTTCTGTTTACCTCTTACAGAAAAATAGATATCCCCAATTCACGGTAGTATGAATCCTGGGTTACATCTCTTCCTTGCATATTTATTGAATTTCTCACACTTCCCAACATCAACTAGCAGATTATTTAAATGTAGGAAAGGTATTGAATCTGAACTTAATCACCAGCTTCTTGAAAAAAGAAAAAAAAGAAATAAAGAAAGAAACCTCTGTTCAACTGATTTACATTCAAGTCCAAGAAGAAAAATAGCTTTTTTTTTTAAGGGGAGCAATATTTAATTAACTATTGATTTCTTCTCAATTATTCAAGGCAAGCAATTATCGATATTGATGGAACAGATATTTCCCTACCTCCAGTGCCCAAATGAAAGGAAATATCCCATTCAGCAATCTGCTGCCGGGAACAAGAAATGCTGAGAATCTTTAACTTTAAATGGAAACAGTTATTTGGATCTGTTTATTCCATGTTGCCCCAATTAAACAGATATTTCCTGAAGTGTAAGCAAAACAAAATCCTGAAAACCTAGGTATGCTTCTCAAATTAACAACAACCATCTCTGACCATGGGTGTAACCATTCTACCCTTGTAGATTTTGCCTCGCAGCCACAGATCTTGGCATTTTTTAAACCATGACACATAAAATACCATCATTTGGGTCTGATATTCAAGATTTCTACCACCCAATGAGAGGTAGCTTAAATAATCATTAGAACCCCTGAGACACTACCATGTATATCAATATTTTGAGCCTCAAGGATTTGGTAGGCCTTAATAGTCACTTCTGACATTTACAGACAGCAAATGTGGGTACATTTGAAAATTATACCAGTGAGTGATGCAGCTGCCTTAGAGGTTGCCAAAGAGTTACTGTGGAAGAAGGTAAAAGAAGGCCTTGTTTAGGGCACTTTGTTATGAACTCTGTGAATGTCCGCTACCATCATTCCTCAGCTCATTTGCACACAGGGCATTAGCACATTTGTGTGTAAGAAGCTTCTTTTGAAGGTGACATGACTGCTGAACATGATTAATGGACAAGCAACATTCTCTATTGAATTACTACTTGGGAGGTTTTTTTTTTTTTAATACTTTGCACTTGATAGTAATATTAAGTGTGTGCGTGAGTGCGTGTGTGTGGGTGTGTGTGTGTGTGTGTATGTGTGTGTCTGTGTTTAATTCACGTGGTACCCCTGGGGAAATTTGACCATGACATTTTTTAAAAATGAAAAATGTTGTAATTTATAAAAATTATTTTTTCTGCTCTGCCCCTACCCCCAACTCCAGAGTGGTTCTATATATTAAGTGCTTAAGCAGCATATGTTGCTGGGAAGTGTTCTTGGCTCTTTTATTCTTTGTTATTATTTTAATTTCCCTGGGTCCTATTTAACATTCTGCTAAATCAGTGAAACCTTGATTATCTAAAAGAATAGGAGACATGGAATTAATGAGGATAACCAGAACTTTGAAATAAGTAATTATTAGAGATGAAAATTACATAACAGGGACCATGAATGAATTGCAGTATCTGGAATTGCTTGCTTGATTTATTCAAACGGATTCTATTAATTGATGGACAGAGTGAAATTTTGGTAATCACGGTTTCATCACCGCATTTTTTACTATTCGGGGGAAATCAAGGTAACCTTGGACTCTACTTCCCATATTTACATGGCAATGAATATCCTAATAGGGCTGTCAGGGGTAAATATGACCGCTCGTCCTCCCTCTCCTCCCAAAAAAACCACTTTCTCTCTTCTGATCTGGCTGCCCGCCTGCCTGGAGCATGCTGCCTGTCCCCTGACCGGTCCCCTCTCCCCTCGTGCTTCCCTGTTGGCTCGGTCTTCCTGCATGCAGCGGCTGGAATCACCTGCAGGGAGAATGGCCCACCCCTTAGAGGTTCTTGGTCATTTCAGCAATACTGCTTTGCATTTTAACTTCCATTCACCTGGCTTCAAAACTCTGCATTCTTGTACGGGGCACTCGCCCTTTAAAAACCCGGGAGGTCGCAACAGGTCCCAGTTCTATGAAGAGAAGATACTGCCAAACCAGTATTACATTCCTTCGTATTCGATAGCCTGAAATGGACAATGATACCATCCAGGATTGCAGCAAAAATCTATACGAAAAGGACAAATATGATCATTAAAAAAATAAAAAGGCAGCGAACTACATTCGTTTGGAAATTGGAGTCACATGCTTAGTTTGTGGAGGGGAGGGGGGAAGCACAAGATCGATAGAGATTTTTTTTAAGCTGAAAAACACGATGTACTAGATGAACTTAAATTGATTCTGCTTCTCCTCCCCGCGCCCCGCCCCACCCCCACCCCTCGTTCTGCAGCGAATGTCTGCGACAACGAGCTCCTGCACTGCCAGAACGGAGGGACGTGCCACAACAACGTGCGCTGCCTGTGTCCGGCCGCGTACACGGGCATCCTGTGCGAGAAGCTGCGGTGCGAGGAGGCGGGCAGCTGCGGCTCCGACTCGGGCCAGGGGGCGCCCCCTCCCGGCTCCCCGGCGCTGCTGCTGCTGGCCGCGCTGCTGGGCACAGCCAGCCCCCTGCTGTTCTAGATGGGCCACCAGCCACCGGCCAGGGCGCGTGCCCGCCTGGGAGGGGGAGCCAACGCAACGCGAGCATTCGCTGCTAACATAGGAAACACACACTCAGACACCCCCACTCAAGCACCGTGTACAAACTAAGAAGGCCTAACTGAACTAAGCCATATTTATCAGCCGTGGACAGCACATCCCGAGTCAAGACTGTTACTTTCTGACTCCAGAGGAGTTGGCAGCTGTTGATACCATCACCGCAAATCACATTGCCAGCTGCAGAGCATATTGCCCATCGGAAAGGCTGTGACAGCCCCTGAAACAGGAAGGACAACAAACAAATCAAGCAACCTAAAAACATTCGCTACTCTCCCGCGGGGTGCCCCAGCACCACTGGCCCGGTGTGTGGACCAACCAAATAGAAGCATTCTTTGCTGGCAGTGCACTGTGGGTATAAGGAAATCTGTTACAAGCTGCCATATTGGCCTGCTTCAGTCCCTGAACCCCTTCCAACCTGTGCTTTAGTGAACGTTGCTCTGTAACCCTTGTTGGTTGAAAGATTTCTTTGTCTGATGTTAGTAATGCACATGTGTAACAACCCCCTCCAAAAGCTCAAGCCAGTCATACCCCGTATATCTTAGCAGCACTGTTATCCCAGTGCAAGCACACATCCACTGTCCAAGAGTGGCTATAGGAAAAAAAAAGAAAAAAGGAAAAAAAAAAAAAAAAGAAAGTGTATCTATCCTTTTGTATTCAAATGAAGTTATTTTTCTTGAAATACTGTAATATGTAGATTTTTTGTATTCTTGCCAATTTGTGTTACCAGACAATCTGTTGATGTATCTAATTCGAATCAGCAAAGACTGACATTTTATTTTGTCCTCTTCGGTTCTGTTTTGTTTCATTGTGCAGAGATTTCTCTGTAAGGGCAACGAACGTGCTGGCATCAAAGAATATCAGTTTACATATAATAACAAGTGTAATAAGATTCCACCAAAGGACATTCTAAGTGTTTTCTTGTTGCTTTAACACTGGAAGATTTAAAGAATAAAAATTCCTGCATAAATGATTTCAGGAATTTGTATTGCAATTTCTTAAGATGAACGGAGCAGCCAGCGAGCAGTTCCACACTCACTTTACTGGTTTCTCTGTGGACTGAATACACTCAGCTGATGAATTTAGTACCCAGGAAGATGGATTGATGTTCACTAGCTTGGACAACTTCTGCAAAACATGAGACTATTTCCACTTGGGAAAAAATTATAACAGCAAAAAAAAAAAAAAAAAAAAAAAGTCTAAATGATTGCCAAGATTATGCCAAAGCCTGTTGGCAGAGTACTAAGAGACTTTGATTTTTTAAGTCATGCTATTTTCACAGATTGATGTGATCATGTGACTCTAGGGATGCTGATCTATGTATCTTTGCAAATACAGTGTTTACATGGAGTATCATGAGAGAAAACCTGGAGAACCAGGAAATTCGCAGGGAATTTGAGTGATTAGCAATTTGAATATATTCAGACTTAGTATTTAGAGGAAATATCAAAATATACAGCAGCAAGTAGACATGACTGCTGTTCCTGAGAATAAAGTTTGTTTTAAGTACCACCCGAGGTGTAATAAATTGTTTCTGCCTTTTATCAGGCCAATTACTGTGCAAGGCAGCAAGGGGAGGTGGGTGCGGGAGAACCCTCGCAAACTTTCACAGTGGCTCAAAGAGTGTGTGTTCCGTTCCAGGCACACTGTTGTCCTACAGGTTACAAGCGTGTTAGCAGCAGCATCTCCTGGAATCAAAAACAATTTTCAGCCCAAGCCAGAGTCTTAAGGACACCTGACTCGGCAGAGCAATAATCCATGATAGTGTTAGGTTGGAAGCCCGCTTCTGGTCTGAATCCTTTACCCTACCATGGGGCGGGGAGGGGGATGTCTTCTGATAACCTGGGTAGAAACTAGATGAAGGAACATCATGTCTTACTGGTTTTGTTCCCAGAAAAACCAATTCAAAAAAGGCAATAAAAGGTAAACAGGTAATGCCTGTGCTGCCTGCCACCCCATGTCTAAGTCGATTGAATGTTTGTTATTCAAACCAACAGTCTCTTTTGATGTAAGAAATAAGGAAAGATGGAAATAAATTAGAGCTCTGGCTTAGTGCCAGAAATTGGAGATTTACGTTAGAAGCATAAACAGCAAATTATATTTCAGACTCACCAAAGAATACACATGAAAATGCTGATAACATACAGAGTTTGTGATTACTTCTAATGAGGTGGATTCCTCATATTAAAATTGGAATTTAGGTTGTCTTATAGTTTATTAGCACAAACCAAAGGCAGACTGTGTTATTTCTAGCAACGATGCACTTTATCATTATCCACTCATGGCTTTGTCACAGTGCTCAGGAATCAGACTCCACACATTTCAATACATGGGACTCCAAATCTAATTCTAAAATTTAATGAAGGCTTGATCTAAATCAGTTCATCTGCATTTTATCTTTATGAGGCTATAAGAATCTAAATTGATGAGGAATATCTTGCGTTCCATGTATTTAGATATAGTTTTCTGAATTTCCTGAAGTGATGTGATCTGCTTTTAATAAAAATTCACTTTTAGGTATATAACAAATGGAAATGAAATGTTCTTTTTAATCTGGATTCTCAAGTTCTTCTAAAGGGTTTATTCCTTTGAAGAAACCCCAACTCAGTGGATTTTTATTCATCTGCTGCTTTCCAGCATTCTTGCCATGTGGGTTCCACCTGCAATATTATGCCTTTGAGAACAGGATTGGGGTGAAAAGTGGGTACTGAGTTGTTCACATACTTAAGGTTCCAATTCTTGCTTCCCCAACTTTCCCACAGAGTAAAAATATAATTCATTCCGTCAACACCATTAATAAGCATAAAGCTTCAACAAAATTTTTATCCAAATGTCCAGCTCTATAGAAAGGGTCACTATTTCTAGGACAGTAATTAGACTGCCCTGCTGTGATATGGAAGTGATTCGTTTCTGTCCCTGTACCAGTCTAGAGCATGTACTTGAGTCTCAGCAAAGAGGAGTCCATTCTGACTCTCCTCTCACTTCATCTCAGTAGCCAGGAACCTAGTATTCCCTTCCCCAATGGCCTCTACCCACTTAAAGGGCATGTATGCACCTCTTCTATGGGTCCAAACTTCCAAAGGCAAGCAGCACCATGACTGCATATCCCTGGACACAAGGGGTGGCCGACAGTGAATCTGTGTGGGTAGATAAGTGACTCGGTCCTAGGAGTCCTCGGTCCTGGGAGAATTCACACATGAGTGAGAAGAAGCCCCTTGCAGTGAAAACCAGAGCTCAGAAATGGAAGGAAAGGGTCTAAAACGTGGGAGAGAGAGAGACTAGGGCTGCCTCAGGGCCAGGGTCGGGTACAGAACCCTGAGCAGACTAAGGATTATAAATCTACAACTGGGTTTCCATTTCTTAGGAAAGCATTTGCATCAGTGTGGCAGATTGGAATGTATTTTATTCAACACTGTGTTAGCTTAATGTATACCTTTTAAATATTTAGACATATGGCACATGGGCCTCCGTTGGTACTTTTGTCCTGGCCCCCACCTGGTGGCTCTACCTGGAGGTAAACACTGCACGAGATGCCCTTGCATTAAATCACTAAGTTGGCACAAATCACTCACCCAGGTAACAGAAAGGTACAGGTTGGAGAAGGCGTGGGCCACAGTTCAGCAGTTGCTGTCATGAATGCTCTCCCTCACCTTTTCTCAGACCTATGGACTTACTGGAATTATTAGAAGTTTGGATGGACTACGGGGCAGCTGTGGGGAACCCTAAAATCAGATCTTTTGTCCCATTGCCTTCCTTCTCCACCATCAATAACCCAGTATTGCTGGGATGTAAAGACCCCATATTCTGAAATAGGTGCTCTGCACTATGTGGGATATGGGTCGTTGTACTTCATCTGTTGTTAAAGACAAAAAAAAAAAAAAAATACCTGTTCAACAGTTTCTTTGATCACAGGATTGCACATGTGGGAAATTTGGACTACATGTTCTATATATTTGTTACATATGGGACTCTGTACCTTATGATCTGGGGCAATTTCAAGTTTCACCTTCAGAAATCTGAATTAGAATTCCTTCCCCACCATGTCCCTCCCAGTCTTCATCTGCAAGGATGGGAATGGTAGCAGCAATCAAGCTACATGTTAGCAAAATATGAACAACCGGGTAAAAGTAGATTTTTTTTTTTTTTTTGAAAATCCAGAAATCCAATTGGACAGCCTTAGTAATATGTAAGAATGAAACATAGAGATAAGGAACACCCCCAGAATTTTGATCCAAATGTCTAGTTGTGAGCAATCTCTTCTGTGCCTCAGGGTATCAGGACTAGATTCTAATCCATTTTCTGTCTAAGAAATATCAAATGTTGATCTGGCACAAATATTCCTGTAATTCTTACCAGTTCCATAGAGAAGAGTTTTTCACTTTTAACTACATTTTCACTTGTTTTTACATTAAAAAGTAATTTTTCCCTTTAGTTACCTAAAACAGATGCCAATAAGCTCCCAGCATAAACTACACATAAATATAATATGATGTCAGAGAGAATTCAGAATGCCAACTATTGGGTTTTGAATTTTCACCAAAATCTTGGGAACATGGAAAACTTTTCATCTTCACAACACCTGGGAAGGTGTGACTCACATATTATCATCTTCATTTTGTTTCTGAAGAATCAAATATAAGAAATATAAGAAACAGATATATCCCTTGTATAAATCATATTATTGCATTTAGCTAGAAATGAGAAAACAATATCTGTGAAAAACTCATATTAATATTTTTTAAATGCAATTATTTAAGATAGATTACCTTAGAAAAATTCTGCTCCTAACACGTTTTTAGAGTAGGTCCTGAAAAAGCCTGTCAAGAAGACCTAAATGATTTTAAGGGCATCGTTTACAATGGTACAAGTTAAGCATCTAACAGATGCCAGAATCCCTCTTCTACCTTCTCCCGTCACCCAAGAGCTGTTTTTAATTGATGGATGAATTAAAATGGAGTAGTAGCATTTAAAATTATGTGATGTTTTTATTAACCTGAAATGATAGCTGGTAAAATGGGCCATTATTCCGTGAGACCTAATTATGTTAACACTGAAGATTCAGCTAGGCTGATTGAAGTGAACTGCAGAAAATTGGAAGTAAAAATAATACCCATTTTCTTAACACTGTCCCAGTTTTGCAGGGGCATCCCTTTTAACCATTATTTAATTAGCGAACCATGAATTGTATGTGGAAAAAAAAAAAAAAACCCGCCTGGAAGAGAGAAAACATAATGACTCCCTCTCCTATATCTGTCTGAATAGACTGAAAATTCCTGTGTGGCGAGAATGTGTCAAGTTACGTTAAAGACATAATGTGCCATGCTGTGTATCCTCCAGCCGCCCTGCCCTGATATGACCACATTACAGCTTTCCTCTTACAAGGAGCAGTCATTCTAATCTAACAAAAGAAGGAAAATGGCAGAAAATCACACACCTGAAGTCCTGTTAAGAATAGGTGATTCTCTTTGCCCCAGGCAAGGAAGAACATAATGTCATTTTTGTTCGTTTGTATTTGCGCTCTGAAGGGGGGCTGCTCCTGTGGGGGAATGACTTTCCCTCTGCCGGTGTGAAACACGCAAAAAAACATTCTCCAAGGAAATAGCATTTTGAAATTTACCAGTCGTGCCTACCCCATGAAGCCCTGAGTAATTGTTTTGGCTTTCATGGTGTGTGATAAACACCTACAGGCAGAGATTAGTGTCATCACTCTCTATCTCTTTTTGTCCCCGCTGGGGGGGGCGGGGAATGGGTCCAAATATGGGAGGACTACATTTGCAAGAATCCTTTGGTTGGTTGATGCCTAATTATGAAGACCCCAGCTAAATATTTAGGTTTATTAAATTAATAGTGTGACAAGAATTGAAGCAGTTTTACAACCACTTAAACTCGTGTTTACATCCTGTGTAATTACAATTCATAATTGGGAAAGCAGTGAAATCGAAATGCATTCTGATCAATGGTTCTTTCGGCCACATAGACCCAGCAGCACACATTATAGCAAGGGACTCTTAAAAGTGAGACTTCTTTCTAGACTTCAAACCAGAATGGAGGAATTCTGGCAGTAAAGTGCTTTAAGTTACGTGTAAGATTATATGTATGTGTGTATGTATGTATATACACATATGTATGCATATACATATATATGTGTGCATACATATTTTTTTTTTCTGGCAGAGGGGCTATTACACTCTTTTTTAATTTTTATTTTATTTATTTATTTATTTATTTATTTTTTTTTGAGAAAGAGACTGTGTGAGCAATGTGGGAGAGGCACAGAGGGAGAAAAAGAATCTTAAGCAGGCTCCACTCCCAGCACCGAGCCCACCATGGGGCTCAAGCTCATGACCCTGAGTGAGATCATGACCTGAGCCAAAATCAACAGTCAGACACTTAACCGACTGAGCCACCCAGGCACCCCACTCTATTTATTTTTTAATTTACAAAAGGCCTAAAAGTATAAGGATGACTGCTCCCAAACCTAAGATTGAGATTTACCCTATCTATGGAAGTTC